TTATCATTAAGTCAAAAATTATAATTGTTAATTAGGACTTTTATCACGAGACAATTAAAGTCACCCAACAAACAACAATAACAGGTTGAAGTAGCCCATTTTGTTGACTTTATATTTTATATTAATTTTGAAATCAATTAAGATATACATCTTCAATATTAATTATCAATTATAAATATAAGATTAAATTACATTACCTTTTTATGGGAGATAAAAGTATTACACTATTATTCTCTCTTGTGCTAAAATATACAATTTAGTTCATTTATCTTAACTCATTAAAGTAAATTACACTTCCATCCCCTGAGTGATACAAATATTACATTATTCTCCTTTCATATGTTAAAATTTAAAATATGAAATAAATTATACTTTTATCCTTTAGAGATATGAGTAATGTATCATCACTCTTCTATTATATTAAAATATATAGTTTAACTTAACGTCTTAAAAAAATATTCATTCTAATATTTTAAAATATACTTTTGATAAAAATATATGATGAAATATTTTTAATTCATTATCATTTATTTGCTTCATAAAAAATTATAAAATATATAATTAAATATAAAATAATTTTTTAAAATATTTACCAATATATAAAGGAATAGATCCATTTGTAATCATTTTTTGTCTATATTTTTTAGACAATTTTACCTATAAATCTTTAAATAATTAAAAAATAATATTGAAAGTTACTTTTATTTTTACTATTCAAATAAGTTAACCACTCATAATCACTCAAATCTTCAAAATTTTAAATAGCTATTTCATTACCTTTTTTACACCACTTATTTCATTACTTAACTTTAATTCTTTAATTTTATTTTTAAATTTTTAAATAAAATGTAGAAACACGAAGTGTTTTGACCTTACTAGTAATAATTAAAATAAATTTTATTATATTAATTATATATACATACATAATATATATTATTAAATTTTGTAATAATTATATTTTATCGAATAATAAATCTTTAATATAAATATATTCATAAAAATTGTATGTTTAATATACATATTTTAATATTATATTGATTGAAGATG